GATGGGCTGAATTACACAAAACGCATGATCGCACCGGCTAGTTTGGTGCGCGTTGCTATTTATTTTAAAATTAATCTGTCATAATAAAGTGCCTTACTTAGTGAGAAAAACTAGAAATCTAGAATTTTTAAATTGGCAAACCATCTTTGCAAAGTTTGCTGCGCTCTTGTGATTGACTGCAATAGGCGATGGCGTACTTAACTTCTGTATTCGATTTTTCCAGTCTGTTTTTTATTGCAAATAGTTTGATACTGCCTCAGGGAAAAAAAGGCACTTAAATTACCTTTCCATTTGGTGTTCCAATACTGAATAGGCCGCCACCGTATGCATACAAAAGATTAAGTTCATTATGGCGACATCTGAGGATCTGTGTCACTGTTCTGGCTGCCCTACGATGTGATTCCTAGCTATGAGGATAGGAAATCGAAGGGACCACACGAATTGAGCGTTGAAGGTCGAATCTTTTTTTATCATGTAATTTCCACAGGCTACTGTTGGGCTGTGTGTATCAAACGTTTTTATACTTTTTTTTTTAAATTTCAATAGCTGTCACTAGTTACTGTTTAGGTGTGGCAGATGTGGTGAATGGGCAAGATGTTTCATGCTGTTCTGTCGAGCTGTTGGTCTGGAAGTGCGGTAAGCAGCTTAAAATACATATTAATTTCTAAAATACTTATTAAAATAGGCCCACCAATGCGTCGAAGGAAGGCAAAACGTCTGAATACCCGGATTCTCGTTGTTTTAATAAACATATCTGTTCTTTTATAAGCTTTCCTCTTATTTCCACAATTGAGCCGCCTTCACTGATAATTCTTTTGTTGTCTAGTTATTCCAAGAAACAGCCAGTGCTCTGTACGATTTAAGTGTGCATTCGTGGTGCCTCATTCAAAATCTGTTAAAATGCTGACTTACTGATGTGTTGATATGGGTGTATGGAGTCTGCTTTGTCTGTCTTAGAAAAGAGATAAAAACTGTGATATTTTCAGTTTGGTGTACGATGTTACAGACCATGTTTGGTGTGAGATCTGGAGTAGTGACCTGGACCGATGGATTCACTGTGATCCATGCGAAAATGTCATCGACACCCCGCTTCTCTATGAAAGGGTATTTTTCATGTATTTCTTCTTCCCGCAAAAATTGTTACGATTTTCCGTTACTCCTTACCTGCTTGCTATGCCTTATATTAATCCAATTCAGTCTCACTTTAAAAACACTGCTTTTTCTGTCGCTCAGACCCAGCATTTTCAATTTCACAGCACTCTTCTGAGTAGAATGGTATCAGTTTTTTTTTTTTTTTCAAGGAAGATTTGAAAAAACGCATCAGCATAATTTCACTATGTTTTTTTTTTTTTTCGAATTACGAAACAAGTTGTCTTTGGAACAAAGAGCGACATGCATGAGTGATATTCAGCGAGGTATTCAAATTTGCAGGGCTGGGGAAAGAAACTGAGCTATGTAGTTGCACTTGGCTTGGATCACATAACAGATGTTACGTGGAGGTACACGTACGATCACATGGAAACGGTGGCCAGAAGAAAATCATGTCGCGAAGCAGTTCTGAGAGATTTTGTTAAGGTATAATTTTGAAATTTGAGCGCAGGCATTTCTCTGTCGATGCTTTCTATTGCAAATTATTATCGACGCGATGAGGTAAACTTCATTAATCCAGAAGGACTGGTCTGTAGTGCTGGGTTTAGTGGTTCAGCTGACTCAGTTGTGGAGTTCGTTAATACATCTAGCAATATTTTAGTGATAAGACGAACATGTGATTGGCACGGTGGAACCTGTAGGATCTTCTTTGTCTTACTTATAGGGATGGAGTTTTTAACTGCGACTTCAAACCTGGGACTTTTTCGGCCAGCACGCAGAATTCACGGATTTTGGCTTTAACTTCTGTCATTTGTCTAGTATCAGTCATTGCTTAGACCGACACGGCTCTTCTCTGTGTAAAAAGCTGCCAGGATTCTCATACAAGACATCATCTAACAAAGTTTGAACTCATTCAAAGTCACTATGTTATGTACGCGAAATTGCAGGAACAAAATATTGTCCTTGGGAGAATAGTTACCGATGAACGAAGGAAAGAATTGGAAAGAAGATGCCTGAAGGAACTGATCGAGTTCCTTAGTCCCAATATGCAAGTACGTGAAGGTAGCGGAGTAGAAGAGCAGGGACGAACAACCGGTTCCGAGGAATGGAGAAAACAGCGAGGAGAAGCTGGTGATTCGAAGCAGAAGTCGCCGGCAGCAGTGGTGCTTGCGCCAACTGAAGAAGAAATTGCTAACAAGCTTTTTAGGTTAGTAAAAGTTATCTAAATAGCGATTTTCCGGAATATTGCATTTTATTTTGATACTAATAAAAAATGGAAATGTCTTTGTGAGGGCGCAGTCATTCGGAAATAGCCCAAGTGATAGCTTGTGTCAGTAGCATTTACCTGATCAGAAAGGATGCTGATAACCCCCTCAAACGAGACCTCCTTAAAAGGTCCCTGATGCGAATTTGATATTATATGCCACTGCTCTTCGAGGCTAAATTATAAATTATGGGAGAATTGGTTATTGATTTTCACTTGGAAGTAGCGCCGATTTCTCACCTGGAAGCAGCGCTTAGTGTGCTATGCCCATCAGCTTGAATTGAATTTTACTAAATTGATAGGCGGAAAAAAAAAACATCCGAATTAAAAACAGTATCTCTATGATAATAAATTTGGATTAAAAATTCATCCATAATCCTTAAATGCAAATATGTTCTGTGCAACTCTGTTGTTAATGGCGAAAATATTTTTGACCATAATCTCGGCAGATTGCAAGTTTTCCTCACTGGCGTTCTCATTTCCCTTGCAGCCGCGAGCTGTTACACAGAGGGCTACACTCCATGTAATTTTCTTTGATTTTCAGCTTGGAGTACGACTGCGCGAAAGATGAATACAAAAGAGGGCCAAATGTAATTAAGGGCTGGCAAACGCTTGTCAATAAGCAAGAAAATGTGTGTCGAGT